TTCAAAATCTTCCCCCCCCCCCGGTCTCATCCCATGACCAACCCTATTTCTCAAACCCGTTTCCTTGACCTGACCCAACCTGTCCATCTTCTCTCCCACCTATCTGCCTCTCCCACCTCACTGACCAATCCCCACCACTGCCTACCTGCACTCACCTGTCACCATCCCACTACCTTCCCCAGCCCCACCCCCGCCTCTCTGTTTACTCCAGAGCCCCCTTCCCCTCCCCCATTTCTGAAGAAGGGTCCCAACCCAAAACGTCAGCCTTCCTGCTCCTCTGATGCTGCCTGGCCTGCTGTGCTCCTCCAGCTCCACACTGTGTTATCTCTGACTTCAGTATTGGCAATTCTTATTATCTCTTTTTATATGTGGTACAGCCTTGCTTCTTTATGAGTGCTTGCCTGCATCCTCTGCAAGGGAACCTTTATCATATTGTCTATGTGGTTGAGCTAACATCTGTACAATGCTTGCCCTAGTTGCATGCCACTTGTGTCCAGTGTCTCACCATATCCAGAAATCACCTCTGTATTTTTTGTTAAACAAAACTCAGTGCCAGTGTCAGAACTGGTAAGTGTGAAATCGAATGATGGTGTTCTTGTTCTTCTACCTGTAGCTCTTCAATTTCTGCTTGGCCAGTTCGTGGAGACCCGAGAAGCAAAAGAAACAAGGTTAAGGTAGAGGTGGCAGGAGGAGAGGATAGCAGGAGGTGAATACTGACACAGTCTACTGCTTGAAACGAGACTGTGCAATGAGGGGTAAATGGGATGCAGGAAGGAATATTAGCGATGAGGATCAATTATCCTCAATGGTTTCAGCCTTGCTGGCATTCATGGGCATATCAGTGACAGCAAGCATGTTATCCTCCTTGTGGAAAGAACAGGGAGGAAGCCATGCCCTCAAAGAGTTTGGTCCTGTTACCCTCGGTTGTGTTACACCTCGTCCAGCAAGAAAGAGGGAAGTGTGTCAGAGGGTATGGTGCGAACTGTTTGGAAGATGCAGCTGACATGTTATAATACTTGGCCACTCTGTGTAAACCATGAGATGTGGCTGTAGGAGTTGAGGTAGAATGAATTGCTATGAATGTCAGGTAATAGTCCTTGTTGTTGGAGATTACGGTGGCTGTGGGATGGGCAGTAAATGTTGACCAGCCAGCGTTCCACAAGTGATTAAAAAAAAATACACTTTTGGATCCTGCTGCACCATGTGTTTTCATTTGTGACCACTCTATGTGCAATACTGTCAATGTTGAGATGGAAGTCCTTGAATAAAACAGAAAGTGTCAATATCTTATCAGACTCTACCCACTCTTCCCAAAACCACTGATTGCTCGTTGTAGAATCATAGAACCATTTGGACAGAAGAAGCCCATTGGCCCATTGAGTCTGTACTGCCAAAAATACTATCTACAGTAGGCCCACTTTCTCACACTAGGTCCATAGCCATGAATATTGTGATACTTCAAGTGCTCATCCATGTAATTTTTAAAGGTTGTGAGCCTTCCCACCTCAACTTCTGTCACAGACAGTGCATCTTCTAGGCGAAAAATGTTTTCCTCAGTTTCTCTCTAAATCTCCTGCTTCCACTTTAAAACTATGTCTCCTTGTTATTGACTGTTTGATGAGGGGGAACAGCTGCTTTCTATTCACTCTGGCCATGTCCCTCATAATCTTATACACCTCTATATTGTTCTACACAACGTTCCCCATAAGTCCCATTGTAATTACAGCATTCATGTACAACCAGGAAGAGGCACAATAGCAAATGAAATGCATTTAATATGTAAAGATTGGAATGCTAAGATTTTCATAACCCTTGGAAAGTTGAAACTTTATCAACAAATGCTAATGAATCAGGTATAAGATCCTGCAAGCCGTTTGTAAATTGTTCCCAGTCTAAAGATTTTTGAGTGGGTCAGATTGAGAACATGGCAGAAATTCACCCAGCACAATTTACCCTTTAGTCTCAGAGACTAGAACAGTGGTGTGATTGATGTTTTTTGAGTCACATTGTCCTCTTAGTGCTGGGATGTAAGAAACAGCCAAGGTGGAGAAAAATAGGGCTGAAAAGATCACTCATTTGGAGGTTTGATCTGCTAATCACTAGTTAGGGTGGTTAAGAAGGCATTTAGCACATTTGCCTTTGTTGCTCAGACCTTTGAGTATAGGAGTTGGGACATTATGTTAAGGTTGTATAGCATAATGGTGAGGTTTCCTCTGGAGTTCTGTGTCCAGTTCTGGTTGCCCTAGAATAAGAAGGATATTATTAAACTGGAGACGGTTCAGAAGAGATTTATCAGGATTTTCTTGGGAATGGAAGCTTTGAGTCATGAGGAGAGCTGGAGCATAGGAAGTTGAGGAATGACCTTATAGGGTTTATAAAATCATAAGGGGTATAGATAAGGTGAATGGCTTTTCTGTAAGGTGGGGTTTTCAAGTCTAGGGGACATATTATTAAGATGACAGATGAAAGATTTAAAAAAGACATGAGGGGCAATTTGTTTTACACAGACAGTGGTTCATGTGTGGAATGAACTTCTAGAGGAAGTTGTGGATGTTTAAAAGACATTTGGGCAAGGTCATGAATAGGAAAGGTTTGTAGGGATATGAGCCAAGCACAGGCATGTGGGAAGAGTTTAGTTTTGGATTATGGTCGACATGGACTGGTTGAACCAAAGGGTCTATTTCCATGCTGTATGATTTTATGACGCTATAATACAATGGAGGCAGCAGCTAGTGGTATTGTCACAGCTCTAGTAATCCAGAAGCCCAGCCTAATGCTCTAGGAAGATGGGTTTGAATTCGAACATGGCAGATGGTGAAATTTGAATCAATGAAACATCTGGAATAAAAAGCTGGCCAAATGGCAACCACGTAACCCATTATCAATTGTTGTAAAAACCCATCTGATTCATTAATGTCCTTTAGGGAAGGAAATCTGCCATCCTGACCTGGTGTAGCCGATATGTGGCTCCAGATCCTAGTGATGTGGTTGACTCTTAACTGTCCTCTGTAAAGGCCTTACAAGCCAGTCAGTTCAAGTGGCAATTAGGGATGGACAATAAGTGCTGGCCCTGCCAGCAATATCCACATCACATGAATGAACAAAAAAAACCCCATTCACAAAGTTATAAGGTAATGAAAAGGTTTGTAAGAAAGAAGGACTTTGCATTGAGACAATGCCATTCACAGTCTTAGGACCCTCCAGGGCACTACACAACCAGTGAAGTACTTATGATGTTCAGTTGTTCCTGCAATCTGAGAAATACAGCAATGATTTTCACACATCAGAAAATATAACCTAGTTTCTTGTTTTACATTCTGCCAATGCCATACATTACCCTAGAGCGTTCCTTTCTTTCACAACGAGGAAGGGCACAAGAGTTAGCACTGGAAGAAGAGAACAATAAAGCAAAGATAGCATTGTCATTTTCAATCTCAAGCTCAAGTATTGAGGCAGCGTGTACAATTTTATTTGGACTTGATTTGATTTATTGTAGTCACATTTACCTAAGTACAGTGAAAAGTTTTGTTTTGTGAGCTGTACAATCAGATCATAGGACATACAGATCATTGAATGTTTAGACTGAGCGAAGCATACAAGGTTACAGCTGCACAGGGCATGTGCGAAGGAAGATCAACATTATTTGAAGTTAGGGACTCCATTCATCAGTCTAATAACGGTAGGGAAGACGCTGTTCTTGGACCTGTTGGAGCATGTGTTCAAGCTTCTGTATCTTCCGCCTGACAGAAGAGGTTGGAAGAGAGCATTACCAGGGTGGGAGGGGTCTTTGATGATGTTGGCAGCCTTTTCGAGGCAACGAAAAGGGTAAATGGAGTCCAAGGATTGGAGGTTGTCTTCTGTGATGGTCTGGGCTGTGCACACAACTTTCTGTAGTTTCTTATGGTCCTGGGTAGAGCAGTTGCTGTACCAGGCTGTAATGCACCTGGATAGAATGCTTTCTATGGTACATTAGTAAAAGTTGTCGAGGGTGCCCATGGACGCGCCGAATTTCTTAAGCCGCCTGAGGAAGAAGAGGCATTATTGTGGCTTTTTGACCTTCGCATCTACGTGGGAGAACTAGGACAGGTTGTCGGTTATCATCACTCCTAAGAACTTAACACTCTTGACCCTCTGGACCTCAGCTCTGTTGAAGTAGGTAGAATAGAGAATAGAGGTGAAATCTGCATGCGGTGAGACAAGGTCCTCTGCCACAGGGATTTCTAATACCCACAGACCTTTGTGAGAAGAAATTTATTCTCATCTTAGTCTTAAATAGCTGATCTCAGGAGATTTTAGACTCCAGTTAGACTCTGAGAAGGAGCCAAATGCAGGAGTAAAATTTGACACCGGGACTCGGGAGGCAGGCAGACAGACTTAGGTAGGTGACAAAATGCTGCTCAAGTAAGCTCATTTTAATGTATGAAAGAAATGTAAAGGCATTTGGAGGTTTACAGAGACAATTCCAGAGCTTGGCGGTCAGCAACTGAGTGCATGACTGCCAGTGGTGAAACTATTAAATTGTGTGATATACAAAGACCTGGAATATGAGGATTGCAGTAAAAGCAGAAGGTAATTGGAATGAAGGGAATTACAGAGGTGGTTGGGGGAAGGGTTGCAGCCATGTATTTGTGGGGGTGTGAAATTTGAAAACGCTGGTCTGCATTTTAAAATTATTGCAATGGTGTATCAATGTATCAGTGAGCAGAGGGGACGGTCGGGAGCTGGAGATGATGTGAGTTCAGAGACTGTCAGTAGAGCTCATCCTTTTCCCAGAACGGTGCCCCGCCCTTGCTGGGAATGGCATTCAAAGGAAACCTAAGCACAATCACTGTATGTCCCCTTGTCTTTTGTATGCACAGCCCCACTTGACAGGTAAGGCATTGGTGCAGTAAAGATAAGGTGAGAATATAAATGGCCTGAGTTCAGAGAACTGCTAACTGCACGTACACTAGCCTGGCAATCTCTACCTTTGCAACTTCTTACACACAGCAGTTAACACCATGCCAGCTTCTTCAGAGAGTCCCATACCATCTGGGTGTAACGTGTTTATATCATGTCCAGAGAGCCTGATGATCATTGAATTTGTGAGTAACGCATATTATTTTGCTAAGTTGACACTAATTGTTTATTTGTATGTACTCATGCTTTGAATTGCAATGTATATTTGCTCGAATGGTGATATCCTGATCAGTATATAGGGAACATGTGTAATTGGGTTAGTTGAAGCAGAGAGGTCCATCAAAGAGAGAAAACAAATGGAGAAGAGTAAAGAGAAATCAAGACATGGAGACATAGGTACAGTGCCATAGAATAAACAGGAAGGAGGGGATGGAAGAGACATAGAACATAGAACATTATAGCGCAGCACAGGCCCTTCGGCCCTCGATGTTGCACCGACCTGTGAAACCAATCTGAAGCCCATCTAACCTAAACTATTCCATTATCATCCATATGTTTATCCAATGACCATTTAAATGCCCTTAAAGTTGGCGAGTCTACTACTGTTGCAGGCAGGGCATTCCACGCCCTTACTACTCTCTGAGTAAAGAACCTACCTCTGACATCTGTCCTATATCTATCACCCCTCAATTTAAAGCTATGTCCCCTCGTGCTAGCCATCACCATCCGAGGATGTGAGAAAGGATGGAAAAAAGAAAGCTAAATAAAAATCGAAAGAACTTCGGATGCTATAAATCAGAGACAAAAATATAAATTGCTGGAAAAGTTCAGCAGGTCTGGCAGCGCCTGTGAAGAGAAATCAGAGTGAACATTTCGGGTCTGATGACCCTTCCTCATAGCTGATGGTAGCTGGGAAAATGTTGGTTTATATGCAGAAAATACGGTGGGGATAAGGAGTAAACAATAGGTGGGGATAGAGCCCAAAGAGAGAGAACAGTTGAACAGACAAAGGAGTATCTGGCGAGGTGAGTGAATAGCCATTAATGGGGACTGTTAGTGGCTAACAATAGGTGGTGTGTAATATCACACTATGTGATAACAAGGCCTGGTGTGTGGGGAATGGGATAAGGACATAGGAGAGCTCAAGCCCTAAAGTTATTGAGTTCGGAGAGCTGCAGGGTCCCCAGGTGGAAAATAAAAATATAATTTCTTCTCTCAGAGGATTGTAAGTCTTTGAAACGCCTTGTCACAGAGCGCTATCAGGCAGAATCCCTGTGTGTATTTAAGGCCGAGATAGATTCTTAATCAGTAGGGGAATCAAGAGCTACAGGGAAAGAGCAGGAAAGTGGATGTGAGGGATGTTGGATCAGCCGTGATCCTACTGAATGGCAGAACAGGCTCAAGGGGCTGAACGACCTACTCCTGTTCTTTTTCTTATGGTCTTATGTGTTCTTGCGTGACGCTGTTTCATTACCAGACTTTGGACTCATCATTAATAGGTTGCCTCTTCAGTTAGCAAGAAATGATTAACTAAGACCACCCAAAAAAGCTTTCACCCACTTTGGGTGTTTCCTTTATTGTCAGTCGCAGGCAGCTTCCTTCCAAAATCACGATTTACTTCACTTTGACTATGAGGAACGATATAGTTGTCCCTTCCCCTGTAACTCACCAACTTTCCTGTGTTATGTTTTATTCTTTTGATTCCTGTTATCCCTATACCCTTGATCCTCCCTCTCATTCCATTGATTCCAGTCTTGTGTAAGTTGATGTCCCTATTTTTCCCCAAGACCCTAACTATCAAAGTTCGAGGCCTCTCCTGACACTGATCCATCCAGTCTCATGGTGAATTGATCCTCACTTTCAGTGAAACCCTATGAGACAATACAATATTGACTCACACCTCTGGCAATCCAACCTTACCTCACCCAACTCCTCATGCTCTGACACACATACCGGATTTCAGAGGCCCCCGGACATAAACTTTCAACACCACTGAGCAAAGCTTGTGCATACAGCTCTCTGTGAGGCACCCTGTGCAGTCATCAGGCCATACATCTCAGGGCAGAACACACACGTGCTGTCATGTTAACACATGTTGACCATTCCCCAAGACAGTGCTGCTCCATTCCTCCAGAGGGTAGCATATTTAGGGGAATAGGTATAGTCCACGGCAGCAAAGACAGAGAGCCCCAAAGGCTGTGTTGCCTATCTGGTGCCACAGTTGAGGACATCTCATCTGGGCTGGAGAGGAACTTGGAGTGGAAGGAGAAGAATCCAGTTCTTGTGGTCCACATAGGTCATATAAAGGACCAGGAGAGAGGACCTGCTGAGAGATTACATAGAACATAGAACAGTATTGCACAGGAACAGACCTTCGGTCCATCATGTCTGTGCTGACCATGCTGCCATCATAATCCTATCCGCCTGCACATTATCTGCATCCCTCTATTCCCTGCTGCTCATGTGTCAATATAAATGCCTCTTAAATATTGCTATCGTATCTGTTTCTACCACCCACCCTGGCAGCACATTCCAAGCACCTACCAACCTCTGTATAAAAAACATGATTAAAAAATGAGAAGTTAACAATTACGAACAGCTCGGGCTTAAATTAGAAAGCAGAACCACAAATGGAAATAAATGAACATTACTTCAGAGCTATTTTGGAGACATGATTGCAGTGTGGGAACCCAATATTCAAGGGTATTTAACATTCCAGAATGACAGGTAAAAAGGAAAAGGAGGTGTGTCTTAAAAGGACTAAATCCTTAAAAGGATTAGTGAGGGGACCAAGGGTTACAGGGAGAAGGCAGGAGAATAGGGTTGAGAAATGTATCAGCCATGATCAAATGGCAGAGCCGACTCAATGGGCCGAATGGCCTGATTCCGCTCCTATATCTTATGGTCTCATGGAAAGAGAACAGCTACAGTAAGTGTGTGACCCTTGGAGGATGCAATGGGGATTTAATAACAGGGGGCAGGGAAGTGACAGCTAATTCATACTTTGCATCCTTCTTCATGGTGGAAGACACAGTAAACAACCCAGCTCAGCAAGATGTTAATGGAAGGGTAATAGACTCTACAACAGGGACAATTACTGCTGGGACAAAGCATTTGACAAACTAATAGGACTAAAGGCAAATAACATCCCAGGTCCTGATGGTTTGAGTAAACTCACATGGAAGTATGAAAATGGAAAAAACCTGTTTTTTCTTTGTGATGTTAGCACTCATAGCAATAGAAAACCTAATTTTTCAAATTGCAAACTACCTATTTGTAAAAGTACTGATCAATTATTCTGCTGGGAAAAAAAAAGCCTATTTGAGTATTTTAAGTTCGTCTTATTTGTTACAAGTACAGAACAGAATGCACAAAGTACATGAGCCAAGTCCCCACTTTACCTCTCCTATGGAATCAAGTTTACAGAAAATACTGACCAGGTTTCTGTACTTAACAAGAACTATAGTTCATTACAAATAAATAAATAAATACTAATCACAAGCAAACAACTCTAAATTATTAACATATGCTCTTCTAGTTAAAACTCTAATTTTGTTTTAAAACCCCTACATACATGCAGGCAAACACAAACAAACAAAAGTAACATTGTGTTTCTAGGTGAATGAAAAACAAACTGGGAACCCCAGTTCAATAGCGCAGGGTTCACAGAGTTGATCATTTTGGCTTGCCAGGGCAAACCATTTAGCTACCAGGAACCAATCAGTAAGTTTTCACAGTCACAAATGGTTATAATTTCATAAACCAATCAGCTACCTGTTTCTGGCCAAATTTCACTCTGTACAACTCCCCTGCTGCTGGGCCTGTACAAATATCTTCCCCCACTGCTTGAACAAAGCATCTGTATAAATACCATACACAATGAATTTCAGTAAGTTATTTATAAAAGTGTAGCAATTCTTTCCTCAATCCTTGGTTTTTCCCCCCATTTCAGTCCAAAATCTAAACTACAGAAAATAAGATGGTATGGTCTTTTCAAGAATCAGAATGGTATTGAGCTAGCTACAAGTAACTTAAGCAGTCAAAATAATAAACAGTCACACCTTAAAATGTGAGAAGGATTCCCTTTCCTCCAATCTGTGCCAACTTCAATTCTACTTGAGGATCAACCTTCTGGAAATTTGACAACGTACAGAGAATTCTCTGTTTTACAAGATTTTCATCAACTCATCTAAGAAATTATAGGTCCGCCACTAAACAGACTGAGCTAATCATAAATTGTGATTGTAATTTTGTACCATCATCTATAACTAATTTTTGTGCATGTGATAGTGTTGTCAGATGACTGAGTGACACAATAATCATCTAAGGTATGTTTGTGATAATATCTCACTGTTGAAATTATTTAACTGACCAAGCACTTAGAGAATAGAAATATACACACCCCTTATGTAGAAATGTATTGATCACTGGCAGTAAAGAAGAACAGAAAAAATCTTTCTATGAGACTGAATAGAAGTTTTGCATCTAAATTTTGTTGACAATGTCTATTTTAGGTTTTTGGTGGCCTAGTTTGGATCCTTGTGGCTTCTTCTAAAATTCCGTTTCCACCATACCAAGCCTGGTTGATGTTTGTATCGGTCTTCTGCTTTGTTATAACTACTTGTCTGTTCATGTTCTACATGTGCAGAGTTCAGGGCTGTTTATTCTCATTGACTGGACTGGTAAGTTATTTTAAAGCTTTTGCATTAAACAACAGAATATGCAGTTTATTTTTTCTTATTTCCCTACTGTGTGTGCACTATGAGCAGTTATATAGCATTTGGCAAAGTTAAGATCTACCCCATTTGTGAAGGGAGGAGATTTTATCTCCCAAACATTTTGGCTAGACAAGGTGGTGGAAGGTAGGTGGGTGGATAGCAGAGTAGGAAGGTGGTGCTCAGGACGTAGAATAAGCCTCCAAGCCCAGAATTCAGGTGTGGCATTGTTGTAATGTATAAAAACAGTAGCCAATTTGTGCATAGCAAGCACTGTGATAATAGCAATGTGATAATGACCAGAGAATTTGTTTGAGTGATGTTGATTGAAAGATAAATATTGGCTGAAGATTTCAGGAAAGTGCAGGGAGCTTGTGTCTGTAAGGTTTGCACTTTCAGAGTAATAGCACTGGCACCATGGAGCTAATCAGTGTTATAAACCTCTGCTGTCAAATTTTAATTTCCGAGTTTGATACAAATAAAAATAATTTGTCTACTGTCTTGAAACATGTCTGATTTATGTATATTTTCATATCATTTTTATAGCATGGATCTTAAAATAGTGGCATACGAATTGGTTACTTTTCTGAAGTGCTTTAAAATATAGCTAGGTCAGACAGTCCTTTTGGAACAGTGACTTAATCCAGTACATGTCAGAGGGCACCCCTGGAGTGTCAATGTGGGAAAATGGTTTTTACTGTGATGGCTTTTTCGGTACTATTGCCGGAATGTTGTCAGGGCCCATAGCCTTTGCAGTATCCACTGTCTCCAACTGTTTCTTTATATCACGTGGAGTGAATCGAATTGGCTGAAGACTGGTATCTGTAATGCTGGGGGCCACTGGGAGAGGCTGAAATGGATCATCCGCTTGGCACTTCTGGCTGAAGAATGTTGCGAATGCTTCAGCCTTATGTTTTGCCCTGATGTGCTGGGCTCTTCCATCATTGAGGATGGGTATATTTGTGGAGCATTATCCTCCAGTGAGTTGTTTAATTGTCCACCACCATTCACGACTGGATGTGGCAGGACTGCAGAGCTTAGATCTGATCCGTTGGCTGTGGGATTGTTTAACTCTGTCTATAATTTGCCGCCGATGCCGTTTGGCATTTAAGTAATCCTGTTTGGTAGCCTCACCAAGTAGGTGCTCCATTTTCAGGTATGCCTGGTGCTGCTCCTGGCATGCCTTCCTGCACTCTCAACTGAACTAGGGTTGATCCCCTGGCTTGATGGTAATGCTTGAGTGGGGGATATGCCAGGCCATGAGGTTACAGATTGTGCTGGAGTACAATTCTGTTGCTGTTGATGGCCCACAGTGCCTCATGGATGCCCAATCTTGAGTTTCTAGATCTGTTCAAAGTCTGTCCCATTTAGCACGGTGATAGTGCCACACAATACGATGGAGGTTGTTCTTAATGTGAAGTTGGGACTGTTCCACAAGGACTGTGCGGTGGTCACTCTTACCATGTGCCTAAGGATGATTATTGTGTGTACCTGAGGATCATTACTCTCTATACCAGATGATAGTTACCTCATGGCCTTTTTACTGAGCTGGGTTGAAGCTCATTGGCAAATGTCAAAATCCCATGTATTTTCTGCAATGTCAGACTGAAACATTTCGGGTCTTTGTACTTATCTATTGATCATTTATGAATAAAGTATATTTTGCAATGATAAAAGTGGGTAGAAAGCCTGGGTGAAACATTCCTATTGTGCCTTAAGCTTCTGTCTGTAATTTGTCAGCTGAAACCTTTGGGAATGATAGTGTGAACTAATTCCTCAATCTGTGTTTTCTCTTCCAGGATGTCTTCTACCACTTTTTTGCAGCTATGTTATATTTAAGTGCTGCAATCATGGAAGTTAGAGACACACATACTATTTTTGCTGTGCCCAATTCTGAACTGTACAAATTCAACATTTCTGCTTCAGTAAGTTATCATGCATTCGCTAGTATATTGTCACTTTTGTGGCATCTACACTGTTCATGGAATCCAGACTATGTTAAAGAAATAGACAGTATAGATCCAGTTGTTATGAACAAAGTAATAGTGTTTTCAGGCAGCAGAAAATCAGCAAAGGACTTGCCAATGCCTTTCAAAAGCAAGCTCATGTGACAAAGCCTGTAGGTGACTTCAGTAGATTCACATTTAATTTGCTTTTATTCCACTTCCTGTCTTCTCCATTTCCAATGTAAGTATAGGCCTCCAATACCACCTTCATAACATCATCTAACTGTACTCCTGCCTTAGCTTATCTGTTGATGAAATCCTCATTTATTGCTTGGCCGCCTCTGGTCTTAACTATCCCAATATACTCCCATCTTCCACCCTGCACTCTTCTGAAGCTCTGCTGCTCAAGAAGCAACTTGCTCTGATTCCTATTCAGCCTGCGACCCTATGCTCACTGAAATACATTGTCTTCTGATTTGGCAATGCCTTGCTATCTAAATTCTCATCCTTGTTTCCAGCTTCATCCATAGCCTGCCCTCCATATTTCTGTAACATTTCACTATCCTACAACCCCTCATGATCTGAAATGTTAATGGATCTGGTCCCCTTATTGAAAAAAAATGTTGGCATTGGAGGCAGTCCAGAGAAGTTTTACTGGGGTGATTCCAGCTATGGAGGGAGAAATGAGGAGAGGTTGAGGAACCTAGCAGAAAGAGAGTCCACTTTATTGAAACATCCAAGATTATTAGGGGACTGACAGGATAGAGGTAGAGGTGGGACAGTCTAGAACTACAGGGTATAATTTCACTCACCTGAGACAGGAAGAAGGAGGAATTTCTTTTCGCAGATGGAAGTGGATGTGTGGTATTCTTGACCACAGAGAGCTGTAGAGACTGTGTCCTGAAGTATATTCAAGACTGAGGTAGACGTATTTTTAACCAGTTAAGGAATCAAGGGTTAAAAAGTCATGGAGTCATATAGCACAGAAACAGGCCCTTTGGCCCACCATGTCAATGCCGGCTAACAAGCTACACGAACCCCATTTGCCTGCACTTGGTCCATAGCCTTCTATGCTGTGACATTTTAAGTGCTCATCCTAATGCTTCTTAAATGTCGCACAAGTTCCTGCCTCCATCACTCTCTCAGGCAGTGCAATCAATATTTTTTAAAACCCTCTGGGTGAATTTTGCTTTTCTCAGGTCTCTTCTAAACCGCTTAGCCCTTACCTTAAACTTATGCCCTCTCCAGTCTTAGACATGTTGACCAAGGGGAAAAGCTTCTCATGATCTATGCTGTCTATGTCTCTCATAATTTTGTCTACCTCAATCAGGGAATGCAAACCCAGCCTATCCTGTCTCTCCTCATAACTCAGATTTGTCATTCTAGGCAACATCCTGGTGAATCTGATCTGCACCCTCTCCAGTGCAATCACCTCCTTCCGATAGTTTGGCAACCAGAACTGCACACAGTATTCCATCTATGGCCTAACCAATGTTTTATAACATTGTAACAAGAAATCCATGTTCCTATAATCTATGCCCCTATAAAGGTAAGCACCCCATATGCCTTCTTCACGACCCTGTCTACCTGCACTTCAGGATCTATGGGTATGTACAGTAAGGTCACTTTGTTCCTTAATACTCCCTCGGGACCTACCATTCACTGTGTAGATCCTTCCCTCATTAGACCTCCCAAAATGCATTACCTTGCACTTACCAAGATGAAATTCCAACTGCCATTCCTTTGCCCAGTTTACCAACCAATCAATATCAGACTGTAGACTGAGACCATCCTTCTCACTATCAACAACGTCACCAATTTTCATGTCAATTGCAAACTTACTAATTATACCTTCCACATTCACACCCAAGTTGTTAATGTACATAACAAACAGCAAAGGTCCTAGCACTGATCCCTTTGGTACACGACTGGTCACAGGCTTTCAATCACAAAAAGATCCCTCTGCCATTACACTTTGCCTCCTATTTGTAAGCCCATTTAGGATCCAGTTTGACAACTTGCCTTGGATCCTATGGGCTTTTACTTTTTAGACCAGCCTTCCATGTGGGACCCTGTCAAAGGCCTTACTGAAGTCCATATCATCCATATCAACTGCTTACACACATCAGTACATTTGGTGACAACACAGTATGGAGCTGGAGGAACACAGCAGTCCAGGCAGCATCAGAGGAGCAGGAAAGTTGATATAGGATCCTGACCCGAAACGTCAACTTCCCTGCTCCTCTGATGCTGCCTGGCCTGCTGTGTTCATCCAGCTCCACACTGTGTTGTCTTTGGCTCCAGCATCTGCAGTTCTTGCTATCTCTCAGTACATTTGGTCACCTTTTCAAAAAAAACACAACTCAATTAGTCAGACAGGATTTCCCTCTGACAAGTCTGTGCTGACTATTCCTGATCAATCCCTGCCTTTTCAAGTGTTGATTAATCCTGCCCCTCAGAAATTTTTCCTATAATTTCCCTAGCATTGACATCTGTATAACTGGTCTGTAAATTACCAGGCCTATCCCTCCTGCCCTTCTTGAACAAAGGTACCACATTAGCTATCCTCCAGTCATCTGGCACTTCACCTGTGGCCAGCAATCACCTCCCTGGGATACATATCTTCACTCCTTTTGTCGGATTGCCAGTGTTATTGATCAATGCAAGCTTACTCTGAGGTGTCTGGGACGGAGCTGCTCATCTGAATTAGGCCTCAGCTTTTGTCTTGGGGTAGAGTTACTCACCATAAATTACCTGGGAGTGTGTCATGCTGACACCGGGGCCTTGGACAATTACTGATGTGGGTTCTGGGAGTGAACAGCAAAGGTTTTTGTACCTGTCCTCACTGGCTGTGGTGTTGCCATTCATATAACATGCACATTATTTTTTTCCTGCCTGGAGTCTTTGGATTGAAAGTTCTGATAGTGTGAGTGTCTCCGTTAGCTGGTGAGAAAAAAAAAGTATGCTTAGTGGTTAGGAAGAAGAGTTGATCACTGCAGCCATCTCCATTAAACATGATGGAGGTTGGGTGAGAGGAAGGTTGGGTTGCCTTTGAGAATTTCAAATAATGTAAACTTTCACCCGACATCAAACAAGCCATGTTTTGTGGTTAAAATGATCTTCGTCAGTGATGATGTTCACCTTGACAATTATAGAGGTACAAATTTCTTTCACCATCATTGAAGGTGAAATTCTTGCCTTCCCTTGCCCGTTCTTCGCCGCATTAACAACTTCAGATAAGAAAGTCAGGGTGTTGATGCTGCTGAGAGCATTGCGATTGAGTCAAGTTCTGTCTCCCTCTGATCATTATGATGTGGATCACTGAATACTGATAATCAAGAGAAGGATCTGCCTCTGAGCTCCTTCCCTTTTGGAGCACCATTGCAGTTCCTGTACTACTACTCTCAGCATGTTCGGCCATCTGAGAGCAGGATTAAAATTGGCACCAAACTAGTCTGTGATGCTTGGGCACCACAGCACAAATACCAGAAGCACTTGTGTGCTTTCTCGCGTTGGGAAATATTACAGGAATATTTCTAGGTGCAGAACAGAAAGTAGTGCAAAGTCTACTTTTAAAAGGCACGAATCCATTGGTTAAAAATGTCCTTATTTCAGACATTATGCTGGTGTCAAACATTTTTGTGTCTCATTCTTTCAGGTGTTTGCATTTCTGGCTACCTTTCTATACACAGTACATGCGATAGTATCGATCCGTAGATGGAAATCTGCTTCATGAGCATCGAGACAAGCAACGAATACAAACATTTTACTAAAGTTGCCAATTACTTTCCCTAATATTGATTCACATAATTTTTATTGTAATACATTTAATCCTATGTAAACGAGCACTAATATATCATGTTTTATCAATATCATGCAAAACACATGTGAAAGCCAAGAAATCTTGTAAACATTTTTTAAATCACATTCTAAAGATGTGTGTAGATGATCTTCACTTGATTTGAGGCTGTGATAGGAAAGCCAAATGACTGGTCAATCTTGTATCCTCAGAGACTTGAACGGTGGCCTGATCCCCCAATATGGAATTTCCTGTTTGTGCTTAACGGGTAGCTTAGGAAAATGTCGGAAAAGGCCACCTGATAAGGGAGCCTATCTGGAGCAAAAACAAAGTTGCTGGAAAAGCTCAGCAGGTCACCGGATCTGAAACGTTAAGTCTGTTTTTTCTTTCACAGTTGCTGCCAGACCTGCTGAGCTTTTCCAGCAACTTTGTTTTTGCTCCTAATTTATAGCATCTGCAGTTCTTTCGGTTTTTAAGGGAGCCTATCTGACCGTCTTCTTATTAATTTCAGCAGACAGGAGATTAGGAATCTACCATAAATACCATGCAATCTTTCTGCCCAATCTTCTTCCACATAGTTCACCCAGGAGAAGCTTCATAACAAAGCATTGTATGAGAAGAATGTGCCAGTAGTTCTCAAACATTATCCTTGCATTTACAAGAATATTATTACACTAGTTTTTATTTTTTAAAAAAAATCTTGGGATCTATCATTTATTTCACTAAATTGTTTTGCAACAATTTAATATTTTGCTGTGAGATGAATTGACCAAAATCAAATATCCTTACTTTTTTAATGCCTTTCTCACACATGTATAAAGCATTTTTTGGGTTTTTCGATATTGTTTAATAAAAGTACTCTATCAAACTGTATTGTCAAATTCATTGCATTATTAGCCATTCTTTGTACATACTGTAGTTCAGTTCATGCTTTAGAAAATATGGATTAATGAAAAAAATTACAAAATAGTCAACTATCAAAATGCAAGACAGTAAAATGTTTATCTTTATGGAGCACATTGCAAAATCTCAGACTGTTCCAAAGTACTTCATACCAATGAGATATTTTTGAAGTGCAGTCACTGTTGCGATATTATAATTGATAACAGCAAAGACTGTGTGACATTGAGTAGGTAATCTGTTTATTTAGAGTTTTTTGTTCAAAATTAAATATTGGCCAGGGTACCATCAAGAACTCTTCTGGTCCTCTTCAAAACATGGTCATGGGATCTTTTGTATGAATTTAAGACCAGGTGGAACCTCGGAAGGACAGGATCTCCAATAGCTCAGTACTACACTGAACTGGCACTTTCAATTTTGCACTCAGATTTCTGAATACTCAGAGTTATAAGTAAATAGAAAGATTGAAACTAAGAGCAGAAATAGACTATTCAGTCCTTTGAGCCTGCTGTACCATTCAATATGTTTGAGGTTGATTCTCTATCTGATTGCTATATTCCCACTTTCATCCTATCCCCTTGATGTCTTGAAAATCTAAATAATTATCTGGCTCTTTCTTAAATATATTCAGTGACTCAACTTCCACAGCCTTCTGTGGTAGAGAATTCAATAGGTTCACCACGCATTGAGTGAAGAGGTTTCTCCTCATCTCAGTCCCAAATAGTTTATCCTGTATCCTGAGACTGTGAGCCCTGGTTCTAGGCTCTTCAACCAGGGAAAACATCGTCCCTTCATCTTATCCATAGAACCCCTACAGTGTGGAAACAGGCCCTTTGGCCCAACAACTTCACACCAACCCTCAGAGAATCCCACCCAGACCCATTCCCTTATAACCCACCTAATCTACACATCCCTGAACAATATGGGCAATTTAACATGGCCAATCCACCTAGCCTGCACATCTTTGGACTGTGGGAGGAAACTGGAGCAACCGGAAGAAACCCGCACAGACACAGGGAGAATGTGCAAACTTCACACAGACAGTGGCCTGAGGGTGGAATTGAACCAGGGCCCCTGGCGCTGTGAGTTAGCAGTGCTAACCACTGAGCCAGCTCTATTAGAATTTCATAGGTTTCAATCAGATCCCCTTTCTCTTCCTTCTAAACTCTAGTGAATACACACCCAGTTGAATCAAACTCTCCTCATTAGCACAGTCCCCAGTGTCAGCCCTCTGAACCTCTGCTGTACTCTCTACATGGCAAGGATATCTGCTGTTAAGTAAGGAGACCAAAACTGCACGTAGAGCTCCAGGTGTGGCCTCACCAAGGTCCGGTGTAGCTGCAATAAGATCTACTTCTGAACTCAAAATCCTTTTGCAATGAAGGCCAATATACCACTTTTACTCCCAAATTGCATGCTGCACCTGCCTTTCTACTTTCATGGCCTGGTGTACACGAATATCCAGAGCCCTTTTTACATCCATGATTCCCATGTATCACTATTTAAATAATACTCCTCCTTTCTGCTTTTCACACCAAAGTGTATAACTTCATATTTAACACCATCGTCCAGCATCTGCCACGTGTTTGCCTCCACACTGAACTCGTCGAAATCACTTTGAAGTTTCCTTGCACCTTCTTACAGCTCACAACCCTGCCCAGTTTAATTTCATTAGCAAGCTTGGAAAAGTTGTGTTTGCTTCCCTCATCCAGGTCATTTATATATGCATATCAGGAACAGCTGCGAACCCAAACATCGATCGTTGTGGTATCCTACTAGTCACAGTCAGCCACTTGGAAGAAGTCCCATTGAATCCCAGTCTGTTTCCTGTTTGCCACTCAATTCTCAATCCATATGAATATATTAGTCCTTTTCCATCTGCTTTGCTTACTAATCTCTTATGAGGGATCTTATCAAAAGCTTTTTGAAATAGAAATGCACCACATCCACTGCTTCTCCCTTCTCTAATCTATTAGTTATGTCCTCAGAAAAGACTGAAAGGTGGAACAAGGTTGAGGGGCTGAATTACCTGCTCCTGCTTCTTATGATCCTATGAAAATACCGGTGCCAACCAGCATGCCACCAAAGACAGTCATTAGGTTCGCCAAAGCACTTAGTAAGGGCTTGTAGAGGGCCTTGTTTAGGTAAATGGGGGGTTGATGGGGGCTGCATGTTGGGTCTGGGGCAGACATGGTGCACAGAGGTGGATATAGTGAGAAGGTGACGGCCATGGTCAGTCCTGGGAACTTGGACGGCTCCATTGAAGGGCAAACAGCGCAGAGGGAGACTTAGCCAATGACATAAGTGTGCCATAGGATTATTGAGGGTTGCAAGGGTATGGCCAAAGGGGAAGGACACCTGCATTGGGGCAGAAAGCCAGACCTTTGCAAAAATTTAGCGGTGTCATCAGCAATTGTAACAGAATGCATTTGTTCACTGTGAGGTTCTTGGCTGAGTGTGAAATTTGTGGGCCTTAAAAACT